GGGGGGTACATAGGCGAGCATTGTGTCCCATGAATCCGCGTGACTTGTATTTTTGTTGGCTGTCTCCCTGGCCGAATTGGTGAGAGCCTTTGCCACCTCTTGTGATCGAAGGCGATTGATGATGGGGAGGGAACTTGTAGAGACAATTTTTGCTTTCTGCGATTTTTTCCGCCACGTTTTTGTGGAGCGCAAGCATCTGCAGTCGGTACCCGTTACCTACCTATGTTCGACCTTACCGCTGCTGCTGCTGCTGCTGCTGCTGCTGCTGCTGATGATGATGATGATGATGATGGTGTTGGTGTTGTCGTTGTGATTGGTCGTCTGATGAGAGAGCAGGGCCCGAAGTGGGACTACGAGGAGTTCGAGCAGGGGGAGGCGGTGCTGGGGCGGTTGAAGTGGCTGGAGAAGGGGCGGGAGGGTCTGTTAGAGGAGCTCTCGGACGAGCTGGAGGGCTTGGAAGGGAGTACCATACACCAGGTTCGGCGGGCGACATGCATGCGCGCGACACCCGTACTATCAATGCCTTCCGTTGTTGCTGCTCTTGTTGCTGCTCTTGTTGCTGCCTCGTTGGCCCGTGTGACCCTGGTTGATTCTTTTATTTTGTTCATCGCTGTTGTAAGCGCTCACACACAGTACCCCTGGCTGGTGCTTCCAGGAAAAGTAAAAAAAAGTTACCAAGGTGCTGTGGTACCTGACGTCTTGGATAAGCGGGGCGACACACACACTCTAGAAGGCGTGCTCGTGTTGTTTTTTGAGGACTGACGCGTTTTCATTGGTCATCCAGTTGCCGCGGTAGATGCTAGTCAAAGCCACACGGTTTATTCAAACGGGGATTAGTCTAGGTTTCCCCTTTCGGGACCCCAGGTCGTGGATGGCCTTAAGGAAGACTTTTGCGTGTTCAGCCGCGCTGAGCTGAGGCTGACGCGTTTTCATTGGCTGTCCCATAACGTTGGTGCCGTCGATGATAAGGGTCGATGTTAGAAAACAGCAAACATGTTTCATTCTCTGCTGCACATGAACGCATGCTTGCGTGGTTTCGCATGGATCCTGTTTCCTCTCCTTCCCCAACCCATATCTGTATCTCGAAACTGTCGATGGTTGCTCTCGCCTTTTGTCTTCAACTGCGCGTTTGATAGCGCTTGCCTTTTGACTCAAGCTGCCGTGTTTTTTAGCGCTTGCTTGTGCCATCTGTTCTTTCGCGCGTTTGTGTGGGTCCACGGCAACAACTGCCATGCAGCGTACCGCTTGGTCCGAAAAAAACTACTTGAACTGCCGTGTCTTACAGCGCTTGCCCCGTGCCCTGTGTCCCTTCACGCGCGTTGGTGGGCAATGATTGCAACGCAGCTTATCGCTTGGTCCGAAAAGACCGCTGAGACCGAGACGCTAATATCCATGCTCGACGAAGTGGACCAACAACTGCAAGTCATGGAGGTATGCATAGGTACCGTAGGTTACATGACGTGAGATATCATACACTACTGGACCGATTTTCGAAGCTCGAAGATGGTGGCGTTGGCACCGCCTCGTCGAGAGCTTTCCTTTGACGTATGGTTTTATTTGCACAATCCTCTTCGTCGCTGGGTAACTGATCTTTGAAGATCGGTCCAGGGGGTCTGGTGTGTTGCGTCACTCTCGGTAGGCGCACTTGGCCGTCCCGATGTGCTTGGTGTCGTCGCCGGAAGTGGTTGAAAATCGTACGAAGAAGGCGTGTGTTTTTGTGTCCTTCAGCGGCAGGCGTGGGAGCGTACCACATCGAGAAATAGTGGTGCGCAATCTCGCGATACTCGCTGTCGCCGCGTGTTTTTTTTCGTCTGGACAGTGTTGTGGTGGCTGTTGTCCGCCTGGAACGACAGCGAGAGCGCCGGCGTTGCGGTGCAAAATGACGGATACATGAAACCGTTCTTTGGTTGCCTATTGTAACCTTTTGGATTTTTTTTTCCTGTCGCAAGTGTCGTTGTTTTCCCTCACATTCGAACCGGTCGTCACGAGACGGCTGCCTCCTTTGCTTCCTGTCCCGATTGAAAATTGTTTCGGTTGATTGTGGTGCCCCCAGCTGTGTGTGTGTGTGTTTTTGTGAGACCGGTCCGTACGCGCGCGTGCCATGAGCGATGTAGTCTTCAACGGTATGCACGTACAGTCAACACGCGAGACCAATGATCAACTCGAGACAATGTTCATTGATATGTACAGCAAGGGTCACAATAACAGAAGTCTATCAGGAAGAAGACGTGCACGTCATTTCGGGCTTTACCTTGAACGCTTGTGAAGAAATATGAATGAAGTGGGTCGACCGCATCTCTCAGCCTCATTCTTGTGGATCTACCGCACTTTTTTTTCTTTTTGGAAGGAAGTGGTTTGATCGCTTGTCTCGTTTCCCGGGCTTGTGGTTCGCCCGCATTTTCGGTCTTCATTGCTCTGTTTTTTTTTTGTGAAAGGGAAGAGGTTCGACCGCATGTCGGGGCTTGTGGTTCACCCTTGATTTTCTTCTTTTCTTCTCTGCGTTTTTTTTTTTGAAGGGGTGGCTGGAGCAGCACGGCAAACCTCTTGAGGCGATGCAGGTCGACATGGCGGAGATCGAGAGGAAGAACAACAAGCTAGACGTTCAGTGGAGGAACTACCAGGTGGCGGCCAGTGTCTTCTCTACAAACCCTGGCGTCACTGATAATAGTTCAGTATCAGGCTTTCACAAACTCAGTACATTCCCGACCGTTTTTTCTCCCACTTACTGTAACGACATGAACATATCTCCTTCGATTGTGCTTGAATATTTTCTATACAAGTCCTTGCGACAGATCTCTCACAATGTCTTCCCACCCCGTGTCATAATGCCATGATGCCCACAGAACCTCCACGAATACCTCAAGCACCTGGTGGAGGCCATCTCCATCTCCCCCAGCAACGAGTCCATGCTGCGGAACCCCCAGGTCGTCCTCGACGCGGCTCTGAACGCCAGCGACGAGGACCCGACTCCAGCGGTGGAAAAGGTGCCGGTTCGGACGCTACCGCGTGCTGGCGCGGTACACTTGGCAAAGATTGCCTTTGATCGGTGCTTCTTTTTTATTGTCAATCAGACGGTTTAGGGTTGATGCTACCGCGTGCTAGCGCGGTGAATTAGATAAACCACGGCTTCGATCGGTGCTTCTTTTTATTGGCCTTCAGGCGGTTTGGAATTGATGCTACCGCGTGTTACTTGTGTAGTGTTGTGACCTTGGTAAAACCATCGCTTCAATAGGTGCGTCTTTTTACTGACCTTAAAAAAGAGTTCGCTTTTTTCAAATGGTTTCAGACGAGTTTGCTTCTTTGAAGTGGCGTTCAGACGATTTCGGTTTACGATTTAGGGAAAGGTTAAGGGCTAGGTCAAGATGTCTACTTCTATGTAGTTGTTGTAGCGGTTGCGTACAGCAGTGCAAGGTCCTTGACGATTCTCTGACCGCTGACGATGGCGGTTAGAGGGCCCGATATTTGCGGCGGAAAAAAAATGCCTTTTGGGGGGTGTAACGGTTACTCAGAACTATCCATCTTTTGTCTGTTTTTCCGCCTGATCCAGGCAAGAATCAAAATCCTTTTTTGTCCCCCTCGCGCCGCCCTACTTTTTTTTTTTTCACAGGTTGTTGCGGCAGCCGAGTCCCTCTCTACCGCCCTCGCCTCTATTGAGCAGCTTGCCGCCCACGAGTCGACGTCCTCCCTGCAGCTGCTGGCTGACCAGCGCACTAAGCTCATGGGGCTTGCGGAGGTGGGCTTTTTTTTTTTTTTAAGCTTTCGCCAGGATTTTATTTTTTCCATTTCAAAAAGAAAGGCGGGTTAGGTATCCCTAACCCTAACCCTTAACCCGATTCCTACCCCGTGCCCCCTACTAAAACCAAGACGAGCACCCTCGCGAGGGCAACTGGTGTTACTACTGGTGTTGATGTTCAAGGTGTTGATGAGACCTCCTTCACCTCATTTTTCCTGCTGATATGATAGCATTGTCAGGTGTTCCTCCCTAACTATCTCGCGTGCCTGGTATATCTTCCCTGGCTTTCTTGCCTAATTCATCTTCAACGAGATGTGCACAATCCGAACAAGCATTATCTAGCTCTATAACTTCAGGCGATTCTCCTCCGGAGATACCCCCGTTTTCTTTTTGGTCGTCCGAGGGGTATCAGCACAAACCGGCGTTTCCAGGCTTGAGTTCCAAACGGTGACCCATCCCCATCTGCGCGCATTTCCACCACCCCAACAGAGTTAGGCACCGCTTGGCTGCCACGGTTCAGCTCGAGAGATGGCCGGTGTTGCGTGCGATCGGCTGGCGGTCCTCGCGTTTATGTTGTTGCTCTAAACGGTGACCCCAACCTGCGCAAAATGTCTCCACCGCCTCAACTGAGTTAAACGGTTTCCGCTTGAGCTGCCACTGTTCACCTCGAGAGGCGTCCGACTATGTGTGCAATCAGGTCGTGCCTCTTGCTTTTTGCCCTGGTAGATCACGTGCTCGCAACTCATGGGCTTCTGCCGGCGGCTGCTGAAGAGACTGACCTCGCAGGAGGGGGGCGGCGGAGGAGGAGGGGGAGGTACCCCCCCGGTCAGCGGGCCCCCCACCAGGGACAGGAGGAACAGCGGGGCCGCGGACACGTCGACCCAGCGGCTGATGCTGGCGCAGCGACAGTTCCACGGGCATCTTATCGACTACGAGCTCATTTTCGCCCAGGTACCGTAGACTACGCAAGATACCATACCCCTGGAACTGATTTTTCAAACATCGATTACTCCACAGCAGAACGAGCAACGGTGCCGAAAGTTGCGGCGTTGGAACCATCTCGTCGAGATCTCTCCTAAAGCGCATCATTTCATTATGGCACCCTCTTCATCGTGGAGTAGTCGAGCATTGAAAATCGGTCCAGGGGGTGTGTTATCTCGTGTCATACCACCTATGGTAGTTGTTTGTGTTAAGCGCTTACCCTATACCCTATATGCAGTGCGTGTCGACGTCGATGCGGCGGAAACGGATGCGATGAAAATCTCGGGGGGTGACTCACGGGGCATGTGCCATAAGGTGTACCCTACGTTGCCCTATTGCCTTACCTGAGAAGTAGGTTCATGTTGACGGGTAAAAGTGTTTCGACCGGTTGTCGTATTTTGTATGAGGGGTGTACTTCTATTAACGCGTGCTGTACTCGTTAGACCGTTGACCTCGCATGTCTACAATGCCGGGATGGCGCGATATGCCGGGTTTTCGCCGGCCCAGGCTATCACATTACAAGGATGGAGCAGAAGCTATTGTAGACGTCATCCTTCGGGGGGGGGTATCAGCCAGGGGGGATGTACTCATAGTCATGCATGCCGCAGTCGGGTGTTTGGGGGGGGGGGGGGGGGG